GAACCCATGGGGGTGTCTATCCGTTGATCCCACCAGGCTTCGGCCCTTCACTCTGTACAGTGCACAACTGCCGACATCTTTTCGGCTCAATTATTTGCCAAATGCCCATGATCACCTGTATCAACCTTTAAGCAAAATATCTCATCCGATACGTGCTTGATCTTGCAGTGGCTGGGCTGGGCTGGGCTGGTCCCGACAGGGAAGGCCATGGCCGGAATCCGAGATCAGCGACGCCAGTTCAGAAGGTACTGGTCATCAAGCTTCCTTTTCATGTGCCACCCTGTGCCGCTTCGACACACAGTCGAATAGACCGAGGTTGAATCCTGCCGCCATGAGCAGAAGTCTTGTGTCCTTCGTGATAGGAACAGGCCGGAAATCAGCTTCGGATATTTTTACACTCGAATCAGCGGCGGCCATCAACGACCCGTTTCTTTGGCTTTCGGCTTTCCACTCTCCACTTGCGCGTGATGAGAGGCGCTCCTCCAGGGTAGAAAAGAACCTGCCAGCATGGCCTTCCCGGCTTCTGATCCGAGGGTCCAGCGTCAGTACCATTGTGGTCATTGTTGAAATAGTTTCTCTTCGCGATCGCGTCACATATAACATTTGACGATCCAAGAACGGTCGTTCGTTCCCACAGATGTTGTCAGTGCGGCAGCCAATGCAAGGCCCATCAGCCTGAACTGCGGATAAGCATGCAGTGAAGCTGCATTGGTGTCATGTACGCAGCATGCTGGTCAATGTGGGCTGCCGAGTATCGCGTGTCGACGCGTGTCGATGCATGTCGGACAGTCCCTCACCTCAGTCTGATCAGCTACGCAATGACACGATGGGCACGGAACAAGTGGTCACGTACAACGACTGCGCGTTCTTCACGCATTTCGTTTTGTAATCTGAATGAAAATCGTGTAAGTTAAGAAAGCGCATACGGCAGGATCGACGAAAGCCACAAGACTTGCCGTGCGCCAAAATCTCATCATCGCCTACTCGCTGTCGTGACGCCAGAAGTATATCGGCAATCTCATCTCGCATCTCACCAGATGCGACCCGGTTGACGACTCTTTGGGTTTTAAGGGGGAATGTTCGGTTGATCTCCCTGGATGCAGCGATTCAGCGATTCATCCACATTTATCAACCAGGATTACACAACTGGTTGACGTTGACGCATACACAAGGCGGCGGTGCCCTTGCGACTCTCTACTCCTCGACATATTGGAACTGAAGCCTCCCAACTATTTTAGGTACAAGCTTTCCAACATACTTTCGCCTCCATCACCGGCAGTGCCCGGAAGAGCCAACAATTCCACCTACAGCTTCTCCAGTGCTTCTTCGCAGGACGCACATGTAGTTCCCAAACGCGATCTACCACATTGTCGGCAGCCGGCAGGTAGAATGCGCGTATATCGATGCACGGTACTGCACCTACATGCTGAGCACCTACCTGTGCGGAGAAACGCCTGACCAGGACGCTATTATATGTACATACTTGATTGAGCGGCGGGTTGAGGGCTGTCAAAGGGAAGGGAGTGTAAAATGGAGAGCAAGCAAGCGGAGCATCATTTCACGCCACCGTCGTCTACCCGACGGGCCAACCACTTGAAGAACATGGCAAGACACACATGATGGCACTGTTGAGAATGTCCCGGGTTACTTGGCCCGAGCAGCTGCGCTGTTCAGAAACTCTCCCAGATGCTCGTCCTTTGTGAGTGGATGGACACATGAGCCGTTTATGTGGAACTGACGCAGGGAGGATGGGAGCGCGCGTCTGGCGGAGGCAAGCATTGGCATCCCGAAACGAATGCTTGCTTTCTCTTGCCGCAACAAGGGCAACTGCGGCGGCAGGGAGGAAAAGGTTGAGCTTGTCCGCCAAGCTACAAGGGCCGCCAGAGGACGGGCAAATACTTACGACGAGGTTGGCCGACAAGGGCGAGGAGGCTGGATGAGACCCCTGTAGGATGACATCTGCGGGACTGAGGTCGAGCCAGGTAGTTTACCTGAAGTATAGTCCGGCCTCACGAGAGCTTGGCCGACTTCACAAAGACTTTGTTGGTACCTGAAGTGTAAAGTACAAATTCGAGCGATACCGAGCAGCCCCATCTGCTCACTATCGACTGTCAATCTGTGAC